GTATGCTCCCACTACACTGCTTACCATGGCTCTTGCCCTCCACTTTAACAGCCACTGCAGCAGTCCCACTAACAGCCAGTCCTGTCACTTTACCACCCTCTTCTTCAACCAGACCCACATTACCTTCCCCCAACATACGCTCCCCCTCCAACATTGCCACTTCGTGCACCTGTACGCTCAACTCGTCCGTGATCACCTAGCCAAAACAGCATATTTTACAACCAAACATCAGTGCAACCACACATAACAACAACAGCATAGAACACATTATAACCTGACAAAAAACTCAACGATTCATAAATAATTACCTCAAACTTATTTGTCTCGGACAGCTTCAGACCTTGTGACGTAGATAGCAGCTCACCAACGTCCCATCTCAGGAATCTGGGGAACCTGTGACCATATTTCGGCTTCACAATGTTTGTATGTTCACACAACCAGAACTGCACCACAAACAAGCATGAAACAACCAAACCATAATAACAACCACTCCAAAACCTTAACAAAAACCATAAACTTATTTTAGCCAAGAAATTAACTACCACATACAGGTTGTACACGTACCGTTAAAGCAACTACACATCCGGTAACTTTCTCCGGTGTCCGATGGAAGTCCCTTACCGAACACATGAGCATATTACGTACAGCTGCACCCCAATCATATAATTTCATGGCGTCAAAGTTGTCCACGTACCGTATCAGGGTCCAACTAATGGTCTCTCCGGACGTGGCAAACAAAAGCTTCCCACACACATACAGACAAATAAACTTGGCCGTATCCTCATGATCGTTCGGGGTGTCCCCCACCGAAGCCTCCATCAGCAAATCCTTCACAAGTTTGGCCGTTATCCTGCTTGTCCCTGGACACCTACGCTGGACAAAATCAGACGCAGGCCTTGGTCGTGGCGTCAAATCAAGGAATGCATTACCACCTTGCAGACCAAACAACAGCTTCATATCCTCATCCGTTAAGTCAACTGCACGACCACCCAAAACAAACTTGCCTTCCCGTACACTGTATGACCTTAGGATACGCACGATCAGATCGTCGCCTTTTCGGAACTCTGTGTGATCAATCTGGTTCATTAGTATAGCATCAATCATAATCCAAAACGGTGTCCTTCTCAAGTATGCCAGGTGCACTTCCCGCAAATTGACTGCGTACACCAATTTAATGATCCCAGCAACGTTAGACCGGAAATTGAGCCGTGGTTTGACCCCCTTCCTACCACCAACGGACCGGCTGACAATATTGGGCTGCTTAAACAGGACTCGTCCAGGCATGTTCACCCCGACTTTTCTTCTCGATGACAAGCCCAATGCCTCTTGCCTTTTACGTTCACATGACCGCGTCCACCGAGACCCAGCAGAATTAACACCTACAGTTCCACAACTCACATAAGCAACAAATACAACTTCACCACAAACTGACAAATTTCAGAAATTCACATAAACATACATTACCCAACCCATTCACAAAAACAAAATCTGAAAAAAAAAAAAACATGTCACTTAACAAAATTACTTACAACTCCAACAAAAAAATGTTCACAACACATTCACATAACGCCCGCGTACACCACACACATCAACAAACCCTTTGACAGACACAAGCATACACATTCCACGTCCACACAACTTCCACACACACATTAAAAATTATGTGATCCCCACACCCTGCTGCATGTGGTCCCCTCACACAAAGCACTTTTCCCTCGACAGTAAAAAACCCCACACAATAACTAATCCTTTTCACACAAAACTTCAAACACATACCCCACACTGGCACTACAAGCACAGTTTTGCCTACGTTTCAAAACCAACCAAAACTTTATTCAAACAACACAACAAACAAATCCTCAGAAACACGCCATTACTGAACAAATTATAACGACAATCATACCTACATATCATATTTGACTGTGCGGAGTAACACATACCATGATCGACTCAAACCAAAATCCCTAACCACATCCATACATAATGCTAAACGTAAAATAAAAACACAATCCATTACCAACTTACCAGTGTCAGGCATTTCAAATACTTTTCCGTACCCCCAGCCAAACAAACCTCAGACTAATCTGCAATGTTCGCAGAGCGACCACCAGTTCCACGGAATGTATTAGGGTTCTTGGCCAACACGAATAAAGGATTTCGAACCCTAAAGATTCTATTACGCATAAACGATCAAGTATTTCCAAAATCAGGATCGTTGGTTCCGCAATCAACGAAATTTGAATTTCAAATGACACAAGGGGATGATCGTTTCAGATTCTGCGTTTCACGTCGAAACCCAAATAATAAATCTTAGAAACCCCCAATTACATAGAACAAAGGATTTAGAACGGTTTTGTGGGTCGGGTTACACAGTCTCACGTGAGCTCAGAACTGACCCACATCACTGGCACCAACTAAAAAAAAAGATTACCACATTTTCTAATTGTTACGAAACACACAATCACACCCCCTATTCCACAAACCCACGCGCGTCCCACGAACCCATCCCTACATTTAAGGCGTCAATGGCAAAATGGTCCACATACACTCAATGGGACTAAACGGTTACAAATAAAACAATTAGGATCATATGGTCTATAAAATGGGAATATAGGATTTACTGGTCAATTCCTCTATAATATATTATTTTATTAATTTACCTGAAATGTGTAAGTTTTTAAATATTTTGATATAACTCAATACATACAAATATATAAAGAGTAATGCTAGGGATACCAAATTTTCTACCAAACAAATGACCAAATGTCTCACACAATTTTGTGGGCCCCACACCTATGTGAGACATTTGATCATTTATTTAGTAGAAAATTTGGGACCTCTAACATTTTTCATATATAAATACAAAATAAAAAAGTGTAAGTAGTTTACATACCATGGCACTTTTAAGAAGTCCATATATTTTTAACAACATCCCAAAACAAGTCCTAACATGAAATGCACGACCGAGATGGCACCACGCGGGCGGACCCCCTGTATGTACGAAGAGATTGGTGTAGTCTCCTCCAAGTCTTCCTCCTTCAGCACTGATCATCGTCTTCTCTCTCCCCAATTCGCTCCAAAATCCATTGCCCAGAGACTCTCTTCCCCAACTTTGCTCTGAAATTTCTCTCTCCAACATGTATGGAGGTCGCAACACTTCCAGTGATCGCCAGGTACACAAATCAAAAACTGTATGTTCTTTTTTCACCTTTCTGTTACTTCAATTCACACTGAAACCGCCATGAACAACCCTTGAAGGTAATCACCTTGAAGATTCTGGTAGACAAGACCAGAAACCGAGTCATCTTCGCCGAGTCCGACTTCGAGTTCATCGACTCGCTCCTCTCGTTCTTGACACTACCACTAGGGAAAGTGGTTCGATTGCTCAGCTCCGAATCGGCCGCGATCGGCTCCGTAACCCGAATCTACGGCAGCGTGTCGTCTCTTGAATCTCGCAATCTGCGAAATGATCAATATAAGGATTTGTTGCTTGATCCGAAAAACGCATCGGAGTCCGAATGCAATCGATTGAAGCTCCATGCCTGCTCTCTGGGGCGTGGAATTTGGCACACGCGCGAAGAAGACGGTGGAGTGTTTTTGAAGGGAGGAGCTGCTAGGTTTATGATTACTGATGATTTGCAGGTGATTCCTGGTTCTACTGCTGCTTGCATTTCGCTTTTCCGTAAGCTTGGGATCAAGGATGGAAATGAGGTTGAGGAGAGGACTGTTGAAATTGGAGCAAAGGAGGTATTGTTCTTGCAATTATTTATCATTATATCACACTCTCTGTTTTTAGACAATTATTATGAAATCAAATTCATCTCAGTAGGTGTCAATTTGTCATATAGATTGCACATTTGAAGTGTACATACATATACTAGCGGTGTGTGCACGATAGCTGATGAATGTGCTATTATAGGTTACATATTTTGATATGAATATATGACTTTTATTTCGCTCTCTTTATTTGTTTGGGCAGAAAATATTTTTTTCGTATTTTTTGGTGTTTGTTACAATGAAAGACAAAATTCAACCGAAAATATTTTACATATTGAGGCAAAAAATATTTTATATTTTTAAAAAGCAGAAAACCTTTTTTGGACTAAATTTTTACCAATGTCACCACACCACCACCATTACTCTCACCTCCACCACCACACCACCATCACCACAGCCACAGGCAACATCACTGTCGCCATCACCACTGCGGTTGTCCCATCACCATGTCTCCACCTCTACCTCCACCTCCATTTCCACCTTCGTTCTACCACCACCATCACCAAACATTGAAAAACGTTTTTTGCCCAAACAAATAGAGGAGGTTATGAGTTGGAAAAAGATGAAATATAGTATAATTTATAAGGGAGAAAAACCTGACAATGCTTGTCTTTGTATTTTTACTTCAACAATGGTTGGAGAAAAAAGAGTGACATTAGAAATGAAAAAAGTGAAATCTTGAGGGGGGAGAGAGAGAGAGTGAGGAGAGAAAAAATGTGTAGTGGGGCAATTTTTTTTTTTTTTGATAAATATGTGTAGTGAGGTAATTGATAACTTTGTGCCTTGGTATATTTACAACTGTAACCTTTTTGTAATGGCTAGAAAGAAGAAAAAAAAAATGTTCATGAAAATTATGCAATGCTTGTGGGTTATTTTGGGAATAGAAATTAGGAGACAACAAATGTCAACACCAACTGAGATGTTTCTATATATAATAGAATAGATATTTATCGATTGCATATGAGGCCGTTGCATGGAGAGGGGTAGTGTTATTGGTTGCATGACTCAACCCTTGACTTCCCAGTAAGGTGTAGTGTTATTTTGGCCAATTAAATTATACACAACTATGATCTATGAAGGTTTATGAATAATAAGATTAAGTTTAAAGGCCTTGTTTGGTTTGTATTTGAGAAATATGTTTTGAGATAAAAAGTACGAAAATTTGTTTGGTTTGGTTTTTTTTCAAAAGATGTTTAAAAAAAAAAAAATGTACATGAAAATTATGCAATGCTTGTGGGTTATTTTGGGAATAGAAATTAGGAGACAACAAATGTCAACACCAACTGAGATGTTTCTATATATAATAGAATAGATATATATCGATTGCATATGAGGCCGTTGCATGGAGAGGGGTAGTGTTATTGGTTGCAAGACTCAACCCTTGACTTCCCAGTAAGGTGTAGTGTTATTTTGGCCAATTAAATTATACACAACTATGATCTATGAAAGTTTATGAATAATAAGATTATGTTTAAAGTGTTTTTTGTTTTGTGTTTTTTTTGTCTTGTTTTTGAGCTCAAAGGGTGGAAAACTGAATTTAGTTCAACAATTTTCCTTTGAATCATCGCATTCTGGAATTTAAGGCCTTCACTTGATATATTGAATTGAAAAGAAAGATACAAACATTAACACTTACAGCAAATGTGAGAGAGGGGGAGTGCAGCCCCTCTCACATTAGGTGTGAGTGTAAGCGTGCGTAGAAGAACATAATTGTAATGAGTTATTGCAGTGTTCCATTAGCTACATCTCTTCTGTTGGTTAGTGGTTTCATGTCATCAATTTATTTTTCTTCCAAACCACACAAGATAACACTTAAGCAAGTTACTGAAATGGGGAAATGCCTCTGTTTTTTAACTAACTCAGAATGTCAAACTTTTGTAAATGAATTTAGCAAATATAATTCACCCTTTCTTGCAATATATATATATATATATATATTATCAATAACAATGATAAAAGGCTACAGCGCAGGGGGAACAAAACACAGAACATGACTAGCCTTGGCATGTAGAACATGAATGGTTATGGTGGCTCACATACTGAATCATAATCTTTCATCAAATTCACCTTAATAGCACTACTGGTAGGAGAATCATTTCTATGGTGGTTCCTTACCAATTCATGGACCAACAATATACTAAAAAGGATGACCTAGTGCATGAGGCTCCTGCTAAAGCAGGGGGTCTAGGGAGGGCAAATTTTTTATTAGAAATATGTTATATGTATGTTGTTTTGTTCGTTGCCTAGCTCATGTCACTGTTGAATATTTTTTTTTTTCTTTTTCTCATTTCACTCCTAAATTTGATGGCCTGGGTTAGGTACTGCTTCTGCTGAAGTTTGCATTGCTCTCCAAGTCACCCTTGACAGCGGTGATACTGCCAAACCAAGGCAGCAGCATAAAAGATACTGTAAAATTCCAGCAGAAGAAAAGAGCTCAATCGGACAAAAAGTCTAGAGCTGCTAACTCAAATAATATGAACTTGAAACTTCTAGTCAGCAAATCTAAGAAAACAATTTTGTATGCGGAAGCTGGAGTGGATGTGGTGGAATTTTTATTCAGCTTCCTCACTTTTCCTATTGGGTCTGTAATAAAGCTTCTCAGTAAGAATTCTGGCTTTGGGTGCATGGATAACTTGTACAAGAGTGCTGAAGTTTTGAGTGCTGGAAGTTACATTAAGTCAGAAGAGTGCAAGAAAATTGTCTGTCCAAAGTTAGTTCTATTTTCCAAGTTTGAGAAGCAGCTACTTCAGATAGAAGAAGCCTTTTATCCACAGTACAAGTTTAATTTTGACAGTGGGTCATGGTCAGAGACCGATGCAAAAGCTGAATCAAAGAGCTCTCCCGCAGAACCTTTGGAAGAGGGAGGTCGTTTTCCTGTCGTTATGGCTCCCACTGGAGAAATCAATGCTGGGAAAGGATACATGAAGGGGCCTGCAACATTCATGATTACAGATAACTTGTATGTGACACCACTTTCCCCTATCATGAGTGTAGCACTTCTCAACCAATTGAATGTGCCAATCAACGATGTTGTGGAGCGTGTGGTGACCATGGGCATTGACGAGGTAAGATTTATGGTTTTAAATGAAATTCTAAATTTGTCAAAATTCTTTAATTTGATCATGGAGATGCCTATATGATTCATCAGTGCACAATTTGGTGTCCTATGAAATTGAAGGCCCTCTGTATTCAGGAAAGCATGAAAGTACAAATACATTACATTGAAGTGAATACAACTCATCATCACTGATTCATTGACCTTGGTGATGATTTATCTTTAATTCTAATGACACAATATATTGTTTCCATGGGGCACCTAGGTGTCTGGAGACATTTCCACCAATAATCTCAAAGGAAAAGTTGGAATATCATTTTAAGTCTGATTGCTGTAGCTTAAATTGACTGCTTGTGCCCTTTTTTTTCAAAAAAAAACGATTTATTTTTATAAAAATTTTGGGATTCTATGCCAGACCATTGTTGTACTTGCTTCTACTTACAACTAATGCTATAAAAATAGCTTAAATAAGCTGAAAAAAATTAATAATTCTGAAGCTAGGGGACAGGTCCTTTTAGATTCTACTTGCATCAGCTTTGAGTCACCTTCATAAAATGTACTTAAATACTCCTACTATATTCTATAGGACTTTACCAAATGTGGATAGAATTTTCTGGTTGAAATCACCATTCAAATGATGCTTGGAACCCTCCTTTGAGCTACACACTTAATTATGCCACCTCTTCATGGCATTTCTCAGCAATGCTACAAAGCCCAGAAAATTTCCCCAAAAAGTAGCAAGAGAATACAATGGATTAGATTCAGTTGGGGCGTCACCCACGGAACACTAAATTTAAATGTACACCATACACTTCATTTTCTAACAACCTTTTGGTTTTTCGGGCTCCCTAGCATGTTCCTTTCGATGATGTGGTCTACTATAGCTTCACAATGTGTTGAGATCATTGTATGTGGCTAAATTGCCTACAATATTAACTAGCCTTTGAACTGGTAAAAGCCACAAGCCGATAGAAGCAATGACCAATGTACTTGCTTTGTAAATTATTACCTGAAAGATGGTTGTGGCTCTGATTTACAAATTGATTTGTAAAGACCCCCATTCTATGTTGCAGGCCCTGAATCTGCTAAATGCTTCTTTAATCTCAAAAACAGTTCTGAGTGATGTCTTTAACCAGAGGGAGCCACATCCAGAGGTAATGCTAAAAGTTTAGGAAGTTTTCCGTAAATGCAATGTGTGTATCGTTGTTTGTATATATATCTTTGTAAATGTAATACGTGCGTGTTTATGTGCCTCTTGTGTTCAATATCCTTGTGTGGTGGTGAGAATTTCTTCTGTTATTTATCTTGTTGTGTATATGTCAGCCTGCATTTTTATTGTGTAATATTGACTTAAAGCTATTGATGAAGTGATGAAGTTGGGTGGTACACAATCACAGTGCTGAAATTATGCTGGAGATTTGCTGAATTTTCACTTCACATGACTATAACTAGGTTTAAATTGTTGCTCTGTACTGGCCGTAAACAAGTTGGTCTTTGAGTGAGACTAACACGAGGAATCCAGATGGTCTATATAGTTCCAAATACCATGATGACCATTGGAGATTTTTATAATCATGTTCAAATTGTCCTTCAGACTCGTGGATATGAAAATTGACAAGGAGGTGAAGCTAATCTATTGATAACACGAGGGATGGTCGGACGATTGTTCTGCTAAGAATTTGTTAGATACAACATTTAGAAGTAAAATACATCAGTTTAGTTGAATGAGCCATAACAACTTGGTTTACCTAGCTGCTCTCAAAGCATCATAATCAACTGAAGCACCAGGAATTGGCTTATCTACCTCCACTGCAAATTTGTCTGTGCCATCAGGAGTAAAAACCCTGATTAGACAAAATAATACTATAATTGAAATTTGTGTTCAGCTGTCAAAACAGATGGAAGCTCTTGAAAGCAGGATTAAAGCTTTGGAAACACAAAAGTCACCCGTATTGGCGTCTGACGATTTGATTTCCAAACTTCAGCATCTGTGAATCCTTGAGATGCAACATGTGTTCGTGTGATCGACTCCCATCTCATTTGGCTGATGCTCTTTCTCGACTTGTTTATTCACTGTTTTCATTCACAGAATGGCCAACAGAGGTGGTGCCGGAAGATATGGAGGTTCTAGTCGGCCTACAGCAAATAGAAGAACTTATCCAGGCCTGCGAAGAGAAGAAAGAATCATCCTCTCTCAAACTGAGCCTTCAAGCCGTTGGATTGATCCACAGTTTCATCCCCATGCTGTACAATACCAGTCTCTTCTCCAACAACTTGAAGATCGATTCACCTATGACTCCGGAATCACAATGGAAGAAATGACAGAAATCCAGGAACAGCTCTCCAATGAAGGTTGAGGATACGTGCTGAGTGTTCATTGGACCTCATCGTCGCACTATCGCAAACCTTATCAAGAATCTTATCATTACAAGCAAACCTTATCAAGAATCTTATCATTACATAATTTAGACAAAGACTTCTGATAATGCAGAACCATTTTTACAAAATATCATACAAACGACAAATAATATTTCAACAGCTTTTCTCAGTAGTTTACTGAGTAGTGATTGAAGTGGAATATTATTAATAGGTATAGGGACCCACCACGACCTTCCATATTATTGACACATAGATAAACACTGTTTATCCAAATTATTGGCACACCGACACACAGAGACCTTATCAGAAACGAAATAATCTCATCAGCATGACAACATCAAATAATTCATTATCTATTTCCTTGAGTTCGCATGTTTGCTGATGGACTTCAGGTAATTTGTCTCCATATAGGTTGTCACTGGTTGCAGCTCTGGCAATGGCTTCCAACTTGAGCTGCTGGATTTTGAGGAGTTGTTGCAGGGCGGTTCTGGCTTGTTCAATGGCATCATCTTCTTCATTGGAGAGCTGTTCCTGGATTTCTACCATTTCTTCCATTGTGATTCCGGAGTCATAGGTGAATCGATCTTCAAGTTGTTGGAGAAGAGACTGGTATTGTACAGCATGGGGATGAAACTGTGGATCAATCCAACGGCTTGAAGGCTCAGTTTGAGAGAGGATGATTCTTTCTTCTCTTCGCAGGCCTGGATAAGTTCTTCTATTTGCTGTAGGCCGACTAGAACCTCCATATCTTCCGGCACCACCTCTGTTGGCCATTCTGTGAATGAAAACAGTGAATAAACAAGTCGAGAAAGAGCATCAGCCAAAGTATTATCAGAACCATTGATATGTTCTAAAGATACTTCAATGCCTAGACCAGTTATGTAGTCTGTGAATGCAATCCATCTAGACCGTGACGGTTTATGTTCGACTGTTTTGTTGAAGAAACAAGCATGGACTGGATATGCTTTGAATGCGTCCTTTCATCTGGAGAGAAAACCAGAATGTCATCAATGTAGACCGCAATATAATCTTCAGTTCCTTTGAAGCATAAGTCCATTTTTCTTTGAAATACTGCTGGAGCATTCTTCAAACCAAATGGCATGACCAGCCATTCATATAATCCAAGGGGTGTCCAGAATGCAGTCCATTCAATAGAATCAGGATGCATAGCAACCTGATGAAACCCACTCTTCAAGTCAAACTTGGAGTAAATACTACTATGACCAATTTTTGCCATTATAATATTGATACCAGGTAGACTATATTGATCCTTATGGGTGTTATCATTCAGCCTCTTGTAATTGCACATCATTCTTTCTTTGCCACGTTTTTCTTCCTTTGTGACAGGATCAATATATGTACCAGAATTCACGATGAATGCAGTGGTACGATGTCTACTTTTACTTGGCCTAATTACCTTGAGCTGTAAAAGCTGTTCAATATGCTTTCCAAAGCTCTCCTTCATTGCTGGAGTCACATGCTTCATTGGCCTGTCATTGATTGTAAAATCAGGATTCTTCAGGTCCAGCTTACAGGTAATTTGATTGAGCGACCAATATTTCATAGGATCATCTAGGTGGTGAGAGAAGGATGCCGATGCCGATGCAGCCAGAATCTGAAACTGATTCATCACAACCACGAAGAGCAAGAAAGAAGAAGGGTAAGAAGCAGGAAGGACTTTGCCGAACATGTTACCCTATAAACGAGTACGAAGGTTATGATGCTGTTCAATTTATCAGACTTGTACCACAGGCGTCAAGGCCATTTAGAGCAACTGATGGAGCCGTTGGCTATGATTTAACATCAATAGCCAGATACACAATTCCAGCTAATGGACGAGCACTGATTTCCACTGGTATAGCCATGGAAATACCTCACGGACTCTACGGAAGAATAGCCCCCAGATCAGGACTTGCTCTATTACATGGGATCGATATTGGAGCAGGAGTCATTGATCCAGATTATCGAGGAGAAGTTAAAGTACTCCTTTTTAATCACAATCATGAGGAATTCATAGTTCGTGCAGGAGATAGAATTGCTCAGATTATCTTTGAGAAGGTGTCTTTACCAAGAATTGTGGAAAAAGACGCCCTTAACCTACGAGATATCCGAAGAAGCACGGAAGGATTTGGAAGCACGGGGAAGGCACCGATGTACAAACAAGAAGAATCAGACTCTGGTTCTGACTCTACACTCAATATAATTGCCATGATGGAAGAAGAAACAGAGACGGAGTACCCTCAAATAAGAAAACTGGAGGCGCTAATTGCAAAAAGACAACAACAACAGCCTCATTACCTTCTTTCCTCATCATCAGCAGTTTCTCATTATAATCCTCCACAGGATTCAATAATGGGTCCCCCAGGCTATCCACCGGCAACAGGACAAGGTCCCAACATAAACCTCCCAGAAAAACCGTCGTATTCTGGAACTCGAACGAATTTCAGAAGAGACAACAGAAATGAGATGTGGAACCTACCATCTGCCATGCATCAAACAGGAGCTATGTTCGTTATTCCACAAGCCCTCGGAAAATTTGATGATGCTTTTATGAGATGGGAGTCGATCACACGAACACATGTTGCATCTCAATGATTCACAGATGTTCGGGATAAACTGATGTTCATGGAAAATCTCCTTGGAGAAACGGAGAAATTGATATGGACACAATGGCGTATGAGGTATACTGATGAATATGCTAATCTTATCGCCATAGGAGAAGGAAATGAAGGTACACAGAACATCATTTCTCAGATGAGAACTGTGTTCACCTTGGAGGATCCCTATCAAGGCTCAACCCTTATGCAGGAAGAAGCTTATCGTGACCTTGAAAGACTGTCATGCAGGGATGTGAAGGACATCATAAAGTTCTTAAATGATTACCTTCATCTTGCCACAAGGTCAGGAAGATTATTCATCGGAGAAGAGCTATCTTCTAAATTATGGTAAAAAATGCCAGGTGACCTTGGAGAACGGATCAAGAAAGGATTTACAGAACGACATGGAGCAAATACAATTGGTGTCGTCCCTCGAATTCTTTATACATACAAGTATTTAGAAGCTGAGTGCAAGAATGCAGCTTTCCAGAAGTCACTTCGTAATCTGGACTTTTGCAGGGAAATTCCTATCCCTGGGTATTACAAAGAACCAGAGAAGAAATTTGGTGTTCGTAAAGCTACCACTTATAAAGGGAAACCACATAGTTCTCATGTCCGAATTGACAAGAGAAAATACTTGCAGAAATCAAAGCATTGTAAATGCTATCTATGTGGAGAAGAAGGACATTACGTAAGGGACTGCACAAAGGAGAAGAAGAATGTCAAAAGGGTAGCCGTATTTGAAAATCTGAGTATTCCTGAAGATTACGATGTCATGTCCGTCGAACCAGGTGATGAAGACTCAGATGCAATTTATTCAGTATCGGAAGGATTCGATGATACTGAACAAATTGGCGGAGGCTTAATAGAATCAATCTATATGCTTCGAGAAGCCGATAAACAGTATTGGCTTGGAAAGGAAGGAGGATATAAGGCACAAGTTAAGGTCACTCCAGAAATTTACCATTGCCAACATGAATGGGATCAACAGAACCCATTACCAGAAGACAGAAGACCGGAGTGTACAACATGCAAAAGAGACTTATCCTCATACTCGAAGGCTTTCTGCAATAAATGTAATGCCTTGACAT